GTGAGGAAGGACATGCTGTCTCATCCAGCAAGTTGGACTCTATCACTGCAGTGACGAGGAAAGTCCTGGCCACGAGATCCAGCGGGGAGTGCAACCCTCCCCACCCCCACCCCCGGGGTCTCCCTTGCATCATATTTATTTTCTAATTCGTTCTTGCCTTCTACAAAGACTAGATGAGTTCCTACAGTGGTAATGCCACTGTCTTGACAAGTTTAATCTGTCATTTCCAATCTAGGCTCCTGGCATTTCTCAAAGCCTCAGTTAAAGACCTTGTCATACCAATATGTTGCGGTACGATGCAGTATGGTAATGAAAAGTCCAAGTGAAACCTACAGTAAGAAGGACCCCGGCATCCTTCAGAAATTTTGATTCTTCTTTCGTTTTCTCCTTCCCTCTCTCCGACTCTCTCCCCCTCCCATACTGTCCTGCTGTGTTCCTTATGCTTGGGACACAAGATGTGCTGTAAACCTTAGAGTGAAAATCAGAATTTGATTACTGGTGAAACAACAATTTTGTTTTAAGCTTTTCCTTGTGATTCACAATTGTGTCCCCTTCCCTATAATAGTTTAGGCTTCCCTGATTCTGGTGATGAGAGATTGCTACAGTTTTTGTACTGGTCAAATTGGAGACCTAACAGGAAATTATTATGTAATTATTATGATTATTGGTTTTTGGACACACCTGGTGGTACTTAGGGATTACACTTGACTCTGTACTCAGAGATTATTTTGACTGAGGATGGAGGACCATATAGGATACTAGGAATCGAACCCAGGTCAGCCATGTGCAAGGCAAGTACAAACCCAATCTGCTGTATCTCTGGTTCTCAAATGTATTACAATATAAATCAATCACTCTGGCAAAAAAAAAAAAACAGCAAGAAGAGGACATAATTTTATTCCCCACTCTGGCAAGTAAAGGTGTCCTCGCCTCTCAGATGCCATTTAAGAATGGAACTTTCAAACAGGGGTCCCACAATATTTAGCTCATCTGTCTTTGCTAAAGCTGATTGTCCTGTTTCTAGGTCTTCCAACTCCTGAGACAGAGCGTGCCTTGGAAAGACCGGGAGGCAGCGAATATTTGGACTTTCCAGCACATTCTGGGAGCTGTGCGGAGACATTTGGCAGGTTCTACTGTAATCTGTCTCCGACACTTAAATGAAGGCAGGATGTCAGGGCTGACATGACAGTCTCGAGAGTGTCTCTTGCTACTGAGGTTCTAGACTGAATGACACGAGTCCAATAAAACTAGACCCTTCACCATTCCAAGGGTGGCGATCACAGGGGAGCTCCATGTAAATCCTAATTTAATTTTCCCCCCATGAATGTTTCTTTTCTGGTTCCGGTACATGTACAGCTGACTGAATAACCATCGACTGAGCTTCAAGTAAACCAAATTTCTGCCCCTTCACCTTCTGACTTGAGCTACTGTTGATCCTGGCTACACAGTTAAGAATATTAAAGCTAAAAGGAATGCACATTCTCTCTAGAGAGAGACATTTCATCCTGGGGATGATTTCCTCACCGAGAACTTTGGCTCAGGGAGAGCGAGAAAGCTGTGCTGGGCAGTTTTCCTTGTGCAGAAGAGGGGGTACCCTGGGCCTGGGACACAGAGTGACCCCATTTTCAAATAGAGGGAATGAAAACATGGTGTCCTGGGAAGCTGTGAAGCTGGAGGATTCCTAGTTTCATTTGTTTCATTTCTCTTTCACCTCAGTAATGCTGTGGTATATTTTTCCCTGGTTCCCTCAGAGCACAGCCTGAGCAGATTTGCTCCCACGGAAGAGTGTCTCAGGCTGCCCACCTGTGTCTGGCTTTAGCAGCTGAAGAAAAAGAGAATAAACTAATCCAGCATTGTCAGAGATTCATTAACTTTATATCTCTCTTTCTTTAGGTACTATCCAGCTGTCTACTCTCTCTCACTGTATCTGTACATAATATCTATAAATGTGATAAAATCTTATTATCTCATTCTTACTTTGGACAAACCGGCAGGCTACCAAAAGTATCCTGCCCACATGGCAGAGTCTGGCAAACTCCCTGTGGCGTACCCAATATGCCAAATACCAATGACAATGATGGGTCTCATTCTCCTTACCCTGAAAGAGCCTTGAATATGGCACTTTTAAAAATATCTCAGGGACGAAGGAGATGTTACTGGGGTCTGCTCGAGGCAATTGACGAACAATAGGATGGTCGTGATCATGATGGTGATAAAAATATAAAAAGGGAGTTATAGAAATAGTAAAATACGCTGCTCAAGAAGTGTATTACAGAGATAAGCCAATAAATACAGTAAAATAAATTTAAAATGAACGTGTTCTTAGAGTGAATACATAAATTTACTTGCAGTAATAATCATAGTTTAAGACCCCCCACTTTAAATACTGATAATTTTTTTTAGCCAAACCTGGCACGCTTAGAGTTTACTCTTGGCTGTGATTAGTGATCACTCCTGTTAGGGCTTGGATAAAATATGGGGATGCCAGAAATCAAACTCAGATTGGCCACATGCAAGGTAAATGTCCTACCCGCTGTACTCTTGATCTGGCTGCGAATGTCCACTTTTTTCTATACAATTCAACAAATGCCCAAGGAAGAATGTGATGCTAAAATCACTTAAATAAACTGTTCATCAAAACTGGCAAGGAATTTGAAGCGCTTTAGTTTGATGGAAATTAATATTTGTGACAAAACCACAATATTCTCATTAGTAATTGATTCTATTTTATTGTGTAAATCGACACTGTGTTTCAATAAGTCTCTGCAATTTTCTCTTTTAGTGCAGTAAAACATTTTTTATTTAGGATATATAAAAGAGGAGCGAGAAGAGAGGGTGCCCCCCAAAGTAAAATGATGGATGACCCCTTCCCAGTGATGGTTGTAGGGACGATTCTAAAACAGAATGCACGCTGCTTGCTTTAGCAAATTTGATTTTGTAGGGCTTTTCCCAATCTGCCCTAGCTTGGAGCGTTCTATGTAGTTAAGAGTCTGTTGCTAGGGTATTGTCAAGGCTAAAGGAATTCCTCTCTGTGATGCTTAAGAAGTTTCAGTACATTCTGTTATTTCTTTTTTAATGCATAAAAATTGTTTCTGGAGCTGTTAACTGGCTTAACTCTTAGTGCTTCCTTCAAATATATGGTTCCTTCAAGCTAGCACAAATTGCCATTCTACCATTTGTAGGAATTACAGGCCAAACTCTTGTTAAAACTATTTTTATCATATATTTTTTAATCCTGTTGTCAAATTATTTGCATCATTCTTTTCTTCTTAAGAAATATGCCCACTGGGGCTGGAGTGATAGTATAGTGGGTAGGGCGTTTGCCTTGCACACGGCCAACATGGTTTGGATTCCCAGCGTCCCATATGGTTCCCTGAGAACCACCAGGAGTAATTCCTGAGTGCAGAGCCAGGAGTAACCCCTGAGCATTACCAGGTGGACTCAAAAAGAAAAAAGAAAGAAAGAAAGAAAGAAAAAAAGAAAGAGAGAAAGAAAGTGGTCATTTCCCCCATTGGAGTAGTTGGCCTGTCTTTTACTGCAGTGTTTATCAAGATTTTCCTATATTTTTTGCTAAGCAAAAATAACTTGATAATAAAGTTTATCTTGTAATTACTTCCAACCGCAGAAACAAAGCCTGCCGAATTTTACATCCTAGGCAACACTAGCATGAGAGGTAGCTAAGAAGAAAAGCCAAGAACAGGATGGATTCTTTTCCAGACCTGTGAAATTATCAACCAGTCATCATCCCTTTTTCAATCCTCCAATCATGATTTGACGAAAGATTGTCTCATGCAAAGAAACAACACAAAAGATAATAAGTACCTGTTAGAGATAGTAAAATCTTTCATAAGCAGCTCATTTGCACTGTCATATGCTTTGCCTCCAAGATGTGACTGGAGCCATCCCATTCGACTGCGTTTCCATGCAGAAGGTATCTTTAATCACGAATTCCCACTGATCACACCCCATTAGTCTAATTGCTTTATAAGTACATGATGTCAGCTTTCTTACAACAATTATTTTGTGGTTGAAACAAACTAAGTTAGTCTATATGAACAAAAATTCAAGTATAAAGGGAAAAAATAACCTGAGTGTCTGATGCATGACATAATGATAATTATTATTATAATTGTTATTATTATTTGTCAGATAGTTATTGGGTGTCCAGGATGTCCAAGTCTGCTGTGATCTAAAAAGTTTCCTTGGATGAATTTTAGCCTTGTTTTCCTTAGTTCAACCTTTCTCCTGCCTGGGTCAACAATAAGTTGCTTGTAGCCAAATATTTTAAATATTTTATCTAAAGGATCAGATTATTCATTTTAAGGTAAAGAGGGTGGGAAAAAGGAGAAGAGTCACGAGGGCTGATGTTTCTGCTCTCATGGACCAAATTCATATTCTTTATTAATTTGGTTCATCTGGTACAACACTCACTTGCTAGTTAACCAATCGTTGGTCTCTAGGGAAATCACAGAAGCAAACATTTCACCCCTGTCCTATTGTCTGGCACCCCCCCACACCCCAGTTCCCCGTCAATTTTTCCAGACCAAGGACTTGACTACACCTTAAAATGCTTGTGAACAGATTTATGCTGCATTCTTTCAGATCCTCAAGCCACCCCAGAACTGGTACCTGCTTCTATAAAAAGAAAAAGATGCCAAGAAATAAATGCTTCATAAAATAAAGCAGAAAACGGATCCTGTGGTCGCTAGTCTTTGCTTTTGCTCCCGTGTTTCTGCATCATGTTCGAGTCAAGTCCTTGTGCCAGATTGGGTTCTAAGAATCCCTTCGTGGTTTTGAAATCATTTTTGACCCTGAGCCTCCAAAATGCTGTCTTGAGGAAAACTGCCGTACCTTTCAGAACCCCTACCCTGGCTGCTGGAGACAGGTGATGGAAACGGGGAAGGTGAGTGATGTGGAAGAGAAATCTACATGACTTCCGGTCCACCTGTGGCAGCCTAATGAGCGCACAGCTTTAGTTTTCATATTTGAAAATCACTTGCCTTGCAAATTGTAGATTTCCCCAACGCTGCTCTGACGGGTGATGTGATGCCAGTAGGCGCTGCGGGGAAGAGATATTGACTTGGATAATGTCATTGGCTCAGTCAAGCTTGTCTGCAGCTGGAAGAAAGAGAAAACACGTCTTAGGTTTTCCTGAAGTGATTTTAACAGAATTCTGCCTTTTCGGGGGTGAGGATTCCACGTGGGAGTGTGGGAGGCATCCCTGCATAATCGGATGCTTTCACGATCACTGTTCTTTTTTATTTTATTTTATTTTTATTGAATCACCGTGAGATAAATAGTTACAGGCTTTCATGTTTGAGTTACAATCACACAACGATCAAACACCCTTTGCTCCACTAGTGCACATTCCTCACCACCAATATCCCCAGGATATCCCCCCTTTCCCACCCTTCCACTGCTAAGGATCACCACTCTTAAAATGTAAAATCATGACTCAAAACACAAGAAATGAACACTTGACACCAATTTAATCTCACTCATTAATTAGGAAGAGAACGAAGAAATGGCACAACCAACTTCACGGGGAATGCAAAAGGCAGGGAAATAAGCAGGAAGGCCGGAACTCGTCGAGGGTAGTAAAGGATCATCTCCACCAGACATATTCACGGGCGATTCTTACAAACAAGATTTATGTGCATTATGTGCATTACAAATGACTGAACTGTAATGAAGCTTCAAATAAAGGTGTTGGGAGGATCCGCCCAGGATGGGAGAAGCATGCTGAGAGTAGACTATAGACCAAACATGATTGCCACTCAATGTTTCTTTTGCAAACCACAACACCCAAAAGGAGAGAGAGAACAGAGGGGAATGCCCTGCCATAGAGGAAGGGTGGGGTAGGGGGATGGGGGGTGGGAGGGATACTGGGATCCGTGGTGGTGGGAAATGGGCACTGGTGGAGGGATGGGTATTTGATCATTGTATAATTGAAACCCAAGCACAAAAACGTGTAAGTCTGCAACTGTAACTCATGATGTCTCTTAAAAAATTTTTTAATAAAAAAATGGCATGAAATACAGAGAAATAGAGATCCCAGAAGGTGGCCAAACACAGGATACTAGTCATTATTTTCATTTTAGCGCCCTCTACACTTTCCTCACACTCCCTCGGCCCCTTACCCCATGGTCCTCTTCTTGAATGGGTCCTTTTACTTGCTTCTATGCTAGGGTCTTGTCCGTACGAAGAAAGTGCTGACCCTGAGTCACTGACACAGAGCATATTTTCTTAATTTGAGACCCACTGAGAGGATAGCAGAGAAGACCCACACAGGATCAGATGAGGTGCTGGGGAATACGCTTAGCTCCGTGGGGTCTGCCTCCCCCAGGCTCAGGGGACCTTTTCTCACTGTGTACCTCATGGGCCTCTTCTTGCACGGTCACCTGGTCTGGGGAATTAAGGTCAGTCACAGCGCTGGAGTCTGGTACCAGCACTTAAAGAATGCAGCTGCTTCTCAGCCAAGACCGAGAAGGCCCTGGAGACTGAGGAGAAACATTTTCTGGTCTTAGTCCACTCCCCTTTTCCTATAAGACAAGTCCACTCCCCCTTTTATGAGCGACACAGTGTCCTTTGGGGGTGCGAACATTAGAGGGTAGCTGGCCAGTTTATTCTCTCATGTGAGAGCCCCACTGCCCTACTCCAAATAAACAGGAAAAACCGGTCTTTGTCTAGTGGAGTTTCCGCCTTCTCTCTCCTTGACACTCTAGGTCTTAAACATACTGTAACTATCTGAGTTCACTCCTTTACATTTTAGAATCAACCTCCACTGTGAGTTGTCCATCAACATGCTATTCAATTGAATTTCCCTTTCTTCACCTCTCTCATGCTGTTTTGATCAGTGGTAGAGCTGGAGAAGAACCCAATGGAGCTGGGGACACTCCCTACACCCCAACAGTTTGAAGGGAACTCATAGTTGCACTTCAAGTTAAAATAAAAAGAGTCAATTTTTATTGACTTACACCAGGTTTTAAAAAAATCATCCAAAAAAGGTGGCAGTTTGTCTGAGTAAACATTGCTATAATGTAATTCATTGTCCTTCCAACAGACCGTGTGGGATCTTCTAACAAAGAAAATCGAACATTTCTCTGGTATTTAATACACACTGGACAAAACTTGGAGCCCCATGATCACTTGAGGGCAGTCACACCTCAAGTACCCATCCATTCACAGTGTCCCAGTATTTCTTGCTTTCCTGAATGGTTCCTCCAATAGAAGATGCCCTTAAAATCAAAGACGTTCCCTTCTCTATCTGAGCTCCATTTTCCCCATCCGTGATGGTGGGAAGTGGGCACTAGTGGAGGGATGGGTATTTGATCATTGTATAATTGAAACCCAAGCACAAAATTTGTAAGTCTACAACTGTACCTCATGGTGTCTCACTAATATAAATAAATAAATAAAAAATCAAAGACGTTTTTACATCGTAATACAAGAGGCAGCGGAATAACTTGAGCATATTTATTTGATTTTTCTGTGTGAGGAAAGAGGCATTTTCATGTCTTTTAAAACTTCGCACAAAAGTTCTCTACCTGGATATTTACAAATCTGACCCAATTGCCTGATGACTCCTTTTTTTCTCTTTTCTAAGAAGATGGTTGTAAAGAACAACACTAGTCTATGGCCGTACCACCCTGAAAGCACCCGATCTCATCTGCTCTTGGAAGCTAAAGAACAACACTGAAGTTAATATTTCTAGTTTACAAAAACTGGCACCTTTATTACTGAGAAAATATTTCCACTAATCACAGTCACAGCCTATGTAGGTGGGGGTGTTGCACAGCCAGAATTGTGGGTGACAAAAGGACTATGGCTTTTCAGAATCTTTGGCACCCAAGTTAAGAATCATGCGTTTTTTTTTTTTGAACCATGTGTTTTTTAATTTACCTATCACCTACAGTTAGATAACGTCTGGGTAGGGCTATGTGCATTAAGATAAAAAATACCTTCATTCCCACTTAAGTTTATCAACCCCTACTTTAAGGGAAAGACGCAAGACTTAATTTTATTAAATTACCATTGGAGACAGGGCTTTCTCCTTCCAAACCTATTTCTCATGCAAGGCATACACTTAAAACACATAAATCTTTAGTTAGTGCCAACAATGCTCATTAATAACATCTATTAATCCATAAAATGAATATCTGAGTAATTACACTTCTGTCTACTCTTCATTCTTTTCCTAATATATTATAATTTGTTTATTACTTAGCATACAATAGATCATCAGCTGTGCATTAATCTTCCCCAAAGTTGATGAAAGTGCTCTTTCTTCTATTTTTATTCTGGGAAAGATACATCTTCTCAAATGGTCAGTCTTTTTAAAAAGATCTGGAAAAGATATTCATAAAAATTTCAGATGACAGATCAAAATAAATTAGTGGTTAGCAGATAAGGTCTCAGTGGAATGAACTCTGGTTTTTAAACCAATAAAATAGAGTTAGCAAGAACAGATTTCTTCATTGAAATTCCACCAAGAAATTATGAAGAAAGATTAGGGAGAATTGTGTAGTGTTTATATTAAGGCAGGAGGGAAGGGGGTCTGACATGAGTCAGCAATGCAATGTAATCCATGGGAAGCGAGCCAGCCTTGGGGTCCAGGAGATATGTGGGATTTGGACTTATAGAATGAGAGATGGACCTGTAGTCCTAGCTAAATATTTCACCCCTTTCCTATTTCTGTGGGGCTCACCTTCAGGAAAGGCACCCGCAGGGCCTGTTGGAGTGTTTGTCTTGTTAAGAAGAACTATATTCAACCTAAAGAAGATAAATGATGACCACGTAAGGAGTATTGTGAAATTAGAGAAATAAATACTTCTAAATTAGTTTATTTGGAAAAGGATCACTCTGTGTGTGTATGTGTGCGTGTGCGTGTGCGTGCGTGCGCGCGCGTGTGTGTGTGTGTGTGTGTGTGTGTGTGTGTGTGTGTGTGTGCCCTGCTTGAAAGGAACAAGTAAAACCATGGTCTATGATTTTAGAATGGCACACTTCAGCTTAATGCATGAAACCATTTTGAGTGCACGCAAGTGAGCTCCGGTGGCTGCAAATGCCAGATGAACTCCTTGCAGGGATGTCCAATGGGAGGCTAGACTCCGAGAAAGATGCAGTTCAAATGGCCAGTCTGGAGCATTATAGAAACTCAGTAAACAGATTACTTCTGGAAATAACACAAGTCACTGACTAATTTCTTACATAAAATATTTTCTGAATCCCCTCGATTCACCCTGTCTCACTATTTTTCTTCACTACTTTGAACTTCTAGGAGGCCTTTTACTACATTCTATGTCTTCATTTGTTTTTGTTCTTCATTATGCTACTTTAAGATTTAACTGCAGAAGTGGAAAATATATATTGAAAAACTGGAAAAAAAGGCTAGTCTTCAGGATGGTTGACACAGGGGCAAACCTGCTTTGCAACTCCTCCTCTCGTCCTCTTCTAGTATTCAGGGAAAGACTATTCATCATCTGTGCCTCAGGACTCACACAGAACAGTGTTAAACGCAGAGTGTGGTCCTCGTATTTTTACACTGAATTCACAACATCAAACATGGATGTATTTGGAAATAGGGACATCAACTAGGCTGATTTCAGATAAACAAGATTGTAATGGTGGGACTGTAATTGATGCACATCTCATAGGAAGAAGACACATCTGCAATGTGTGCGCACACAAAGGACTCACAAAGACAATGCAAGAACCATTTGGGGGCCAAAGAGACAGACAGGAGGAGAAACTAACCTTCTCACCACATGGATTCTGGAATACCCAGCATCCCAAAATGTGAGAAGCAAGTCCATTATTTCAGCTACTCTGCCTGTGGTACTTGTAACTGCAACTCTAGCCAACTAGAACGGTGTATTGTGCTATTGGCAATCTCTCTGATGATGTTGGAGCCATCCACCTGATTTATCCAGAAATTTTACTTGGGTTATTAAGTGAGGCTTTCTAAATTGGCATTTTGGGTGTGCAAGATTACAAAGACAATGTGGCAGGATTTCAAGCACATTCATTAGAGTATTCTGTTGGCTTCGATCCTAAACTCCTGACCAAACTTCTTTGGGAAGATAGGAACAAATGACAAGACATACAGGAATCATCCTTAA